CTGGATGACTCTGGAACATCAGAAACTGAGGTATGTCCCACCATAAGGTGCTCTGCCTTAGCTCCTTTATGCTTAGTCCTCTGGTGGGAAGATCGGCCTGGGTTCATCTTTCCTTGGCAGTGAAACCAGTACCTCGGATCAGTCAGAGACTGAATTTCCATGGCCCTGTTTGCCACAAAGGGTTTCCATTTTTGAGCAGAGCTGCGTATCCAGTGCAGTGCTATCATGGAGTCTGTCCACATACTGATTTGGAACTGGTCCAGGTGAAGTGATTTCATTAGAGCGTTTCCTAGTCTAGCTCCGATCACTGCGCCCATCAGCTCTAGACGTGGTAATGTCATTGTTTTTAGTGGAGCCACTCTAGACTTTGACGCAACCAGGCTCATTGTCACTTCTCCCACATCAGTTTTTCCTTGCAAATATGCAACTGCGCTGTAAGCCCTCTCGCTCGAGTCACAAAACACATGCAGTCTTAAAGTGTGACTGCTCTTGGGCGGCACGTTTGTGTTATACCACCTTGAGATGTACAGCTGATGTAGCTGAGGAAGCTCCGAGCACCACTGCTGCCATTTCTGTGCAATATCTGGTAGCAGTTACCACCCCCCCCCCCACCCCCCCACCCCCCCACCCCCATAGTGTTACATATTTAACTCTAGAGGAGTTGGCTTTTAACACTAAATCAGAGTTAAAGTCACAACTCTTCAAAAAGTGTTAAATCAACACTTACTGGCGTGGACCCATATAGGCACTTTAAAAGTGTTGAAATCAACTCTGATAAAGTTATTTTGAGCATGCTGAATTTGCTGTGTACAAGCCTTCCTGTGACGGCAAATGATTTAAATGGCTGTGGAATAATAAAAAGTCTCTCTAGCGGCAAATGAGCTGAACAAGTTTGAGGATGGACGTGTTTCCAGGCAACAAGATGATGAATGCAATTAGACCGCAGACACCAAATGGCTGTAACTCAGAAACATTAATGTTGAAGGACCAGATTCAGACAGATTAGAAGATATTATGTACTAACCAAAATGTGGTTTGTTAGATCCAAGATTATTAGGCATGAATTTGGTAGGTGTTTCATTGTTAATTGTGGAATCAGGTAGATGTACTGTATGTTTGTTAAAGGTCCCATTCACTGAGGGACCATGTTGTGTTTGCTCTTTTTTAAGTACAATCGGTCCATACAGATCAACTTAGCACTGTAAAACTGCCATTCAAGGATTCACCAACCTTGGCTTGTGACTGTGGAAGTGCTGAGTTAACTTAGTGTCCAGGAGAGAGCAGAGCGTGTCTTGCTAGTAAAAGCTAACCATTAGCATTAGCATCTCCGCACCATGGTATAACAGGTTCAGGCTTGTGGAGATAACACAAACGCTGCATATTTTACTCAATACAGAAGAGTGAAAGTAAGCAGCGAAAGAGTTACGTTGCTGTTAGCCAGTCAGAGGTGAGATCTTTGCATATACGAATATTAATGAGTAGCCACAACTGCCCTGGGGTGCACTGATGGAAGCAAGACTGCCAAACGCTGGTGCCACCAATCCCTTCGACCACCATCAGCAGGCAGAGTGGGTAAAGTGCCTTGCCCAAGGACACAACAGCAGCATTCTCTGCCAGGAGCTGGCATCACTCCTACAATCCTTCAATTACTGGAGACCCTGATCATCTATGTCATCTTGATGTGGTCCATAGTCTGGTCAACTCAAGCACTGATTATTGTAATTCCCTCCTTGGGGTGACGAAGGTACAGGAGTTAAGTGCTCACCCCGTAATCTGAAGGTTGCAGGTTCAAGCCCTGCTCAGTCTGTTGCTCTCATTGTGTCCTTGGGCAAGACACTTAACCCACATTGCCTGCGGGTGGTGGTCAGAGGGACCGGTGGCACCAGTGCTCAGCAGCCTTGTCTCTGTCAGTGCGCCCCAGGGCAGCTACATCGTACCCCATCCCCACCAGGGTGTGAATGTGTGTGAAAATGGATGAATGACTGATTGTGTTGTAAAGCAACTTTGGGGGTGCCAGGACTCTAGAAGGTGCTTCATCAAATACAGACCATTTACCATTTATGGTCTCCCCAAAAATCCTCCATAAGCTCCAGAATGCAGCAGCTCTCATTATCACTCAAACCCCATCCTTTCAACACCTCTCCTGGAACAATTCCCTTGATCACCAGTCAAGTTCAGGATAACCTTCTAACTTCTTCTTTTTGCATGCAACACATTCATAATCTTGCTCCTCCCCACCTGTGCGGTCTTCTGCTATCTCATCCTGCCTCAAGAGATGGGTAGGAGAGCTTTAAGCCATTCTGCCCTCAAACTTTAGAGTTCTTTCCCACTTGGCATCAGAGATATTTATACTCTCTCCCTCTTTAAATCTAAACTCAAAACCCAACTTTTCTGGGCGTCTTTTTCCTTGTAGTATTTTAATTGCACATTTTATTTTATATATATATATTTTTTATTTTGTTGTTAGTTCACTCATAAAGCTCATTATTACGTTACTTTTATCTGTTGTTTTAATGTGTTTTATTAAGGGACTGAAAGGTGCTCATAAATTAAATGTATAATAATAATAATAATAATGATAATAATAATAACCATAATAATAATAATAATTATTATTATTATAGTGTGTGTATGTGTTATGTGAATGTAACTGAATGTGTCCGTGTGTGAATGTGAAGTAAATAAAAACCTGACCTACTTTCTGTCTGGATAGTGTTTATTTTTCCTTCTCTCCTGATTATCTGATGAAGGGCGCCACAGTGACTGTGACAATGGCAGGTAATTATTTAACGACTCCCATGCCATCCCACAGATTGAAGCAAGCCCAACTGAATACAAACTGATCCAAAACAGATTGTTCTCAAATTTAAAATGTCTGAATCATTCTACTGAAAGGCTACAAATAAAAAAACAAAATTGGGAATCATTCATAACTTGCAGCCCATTACTGAGTCTTCTTATCTGAAAAACACACTTCAAAATGTTGAAAAATCCAACTTTTTCCCCAAAGACACACTTTTAAGTAGACAGAAAGCAATCTGAGTCGATTAAAAACAAACCAATCAGAAACAGCGAGCCACTACCGGAACTAAGAGTTTAACCTTCAGAGAAAAATCTACATAAATGGAAGAAGAATGGAACCATTTAAATGAAGTTTCTCATTCAAATCACATCATGTAGCTAAAATATTTCATGTTTTTGGCTGGTTAGGTAAACGTTCTCTCATGCTGATAACTTGCTGTTAATGCATTTTTTTGTTTACTGACATTTACATGTTTTATAGGGATGGAGAAGATTTTATAATTCACAGAAAAATTAGTTTTTTTGTTTTGAGGTTAATGAAGAAACAGATGAGAAAGATTTTTTTGTGTCTCTGGAGTTTGACACACCGGCCCAGTCCTTTATCTCATATCTTACTCTGGACAAGCACAAAGGGTTCAAATTGGAACCATTGCTAGTAATGATTCATGTTCCTCCTATTCTGCCTGGCATGTTGTTTTGCCCTTCCTGCACTTATCAGCAGCATTTAGTTCACCTGGAACTCTGTCTGATGACCTCATGATCCACACTTGTTCATTCCCCTACTTAAAAAGAACTCCAGCTATGAGGACGTGTATGCCCTAATAAGCCACAAGTTTTCTGTTGTACCAAACTATGTTGTTAGAAACACACAAAATATTGCTGTTTATTTATAAATCTAACATTTTTGACAGACGTAGGACGCCATGTTTTCCACACACAATGCACTCTGGGGACAATGACGTATATTGGTTGCACTTGAAAGAATAGCTATTATCGCTAGTGTTTGTTTACACGCTCACCGTGTCGATAATGGAGTAAAATGCTGCTTTTGGATGTAATTTCCAGTCAGAGGGCAACACGGGGAGTCTTGTGAGTTTACACAGCTTTCCCACTGGCAAGAAGAGGAGAAAGCAGTGGGAAGATGCCTGTGGCGGACACAACTTCCCAAAGATCCCAACATTTTGCTCCTGATGCGTTAGAGGCTTATAGTGGCCACTCGTCACGGATGAAGCTGAACATTCACCTCTCCCATCAGTAAAACAAGTAGTAAGTGTAGCAACACAGTGTTCTCCAAATATATAATATGTGCAAAAAGGATTAAAGTCGTTTAAATGAGTACTCTAATCATCTATAAAGCACACGACAGCTCTGGATGCTAAAATTCTCCAAAACCGTTCATAATTGAATACGTTTCATCACACGATAGCTTACCGTTAACTTCTGCTGACAAAAATGTGAGCTCTTGACAACAAACACTCTCCCTCTCTGTTACCATGGAGACACATTTGCCACACACGCACAATCGGTTTTGTCCTGCACTCGCTCCATCCCGCCCTTCTTGCTCCTCATTTTGATGATCGTTTTGTGAAACATCGTCAGTGATGTCCTCATTCATGTTTCACTCTGGTTCAAAGTGAAAATGCTGAACAGATGACATGTTGGTGTCGCTGAACAGTCACTGCAGGGTCACAAAGCCGGCCGGTGCATCCGAGTTACAACCATATGATGTCACTACTCAGAGTGCATTGCGATGCTAACGGCAATGGTGACCTACAAGTTGAACTATTTTTACAAATTTTAAACAAAAGCGTTAAACAAAAACCTATGTGAACTTACTGGAAACTCATGTTCTCGAGCATTTTCCTACAAGATCAGAAATTGTTGACCCAGTTTCTAAAAACATTTGTTGCTGAAATGACTTGATGGGATCTGAACCTGATGGAAAACATCTTTTGATTTGACAGAAATTGTTTTCAATTTTGAGAAGTTGGAAACCAGCTGCCTAAAGAGCCAAGAGGTTCAAGTTAAGAACCCAAATGTTAGAGCTGAGGTTGAACTCTGCAAATCCCAAAAACATTGTTTCTAGATGAGTCACACTAACAAGGCTTTAGGGCACAGTCTGATAAAAGAAAACATTTGGAGACAAATTTTTCATCCCAAACCGGACCTTTGTCACATCTGAAGCTTCAGCACAAGCCTTTACCATCAAATATTTTATTTTCCTCGTACCAGTCACAGCCCAGTCAAACGTAGAAGCTATGACCATTTTTTACAGCAGCATCACAAATCTGATCCAGCTTACAAAGAACTCATGATCAGAAACAGAACAGTTCCTCAGAAACGGCAGAAAACTCCAAACAGGATGGAAGCAAGATGATCATCTCGGCAGGCGGATTCTTCAGAACCCAGTTCTTCATCTTTATTGAAGCCTGCCTTTATCCATCCCAGTGGTGGTGCTGAACATGTCCATACTTCACTGTCCCATGATGCTTCATTATTTCTGCTAATCCACTGAACAAACAGCCTCTAAAACACCAAGCTAACACGGAGAAGAAAACTGTGACGCACAGGAAGTAGAATTCTAACTGTGTGATGAAGCGCTAACAACAGAACCTATTACTGAAGTTTTATATTGATCTGTATTGGCTGTTTGATGATGAGAGTATTGATACGGAGGCATAGGATGGGTAAAGTTAGAGGACCACACCGAACCTGCAGGAGTTCTGCCCATTGATCATTATAAAGGTTTAAGTTCTTATTAAAATGCCTCAGAGGATGAAAATGAATGTCAGAATAAAACAAGTTTTTTTTTCACAACATAGACATTGTAAACATTGTCAACTGTTGTCTGAATTAGGTGCTTTGAGTTTTTTTAAAGGGGAAATATTATGACTTTTATTCTTAAGTTATAATATTTCTATGGTTGTTACCAAACATGTCCGTGAAGTTCTTTGTACAAAATCCCTCTCACATAAAGCTATTTCAGCATTCCTGACAGTTTCAGTATCTTCCAAAATTAGATGTTTCAGCTGTAGCTGGCCATGCCCACCCATCCCAGGGAGCTATTATATTAGCAGAGAAGATGTGATATTCAGGAGGGGCTCGAAGTAGAGCCGCTGCTCCTCCAGCAGCAGCTCTCTCTTGCATGTGAGCGGTGGTTATATTCTACTTTTCCTGTTGTGATGTCACAAACAGGGATTTTTTTAAAGGTTTGTTTCAGACACATAATTCCTAAAACCAAGCACTGACCAAAAATGGATGGACACATTTTTTCCGTTTGGAGTGTTAATGGAGGCAGTAGGGACCCACGAGGTAACTTTAACTTTGTGAAATCTCCTTTTGGAGCAATTCAGTTTTGTGTGAGACTTTATCTTTGGTATTTTTATAGCTTCAAATGAGAACAAATGTTTCTCTGTGACAAGTAGATCTGATTTATAATCTTTGCTAAGTTATAAGTCATTTGGTAAAATATTTCCAGCTCATCCCCTGGATTAGACACCTTTTTATGGCTGAATGAGTGAAAATGTTCAGGTACGAGGATTGAACCCAAGTGAGAAGAGTCTAGAAAACGTTTGATCCTGAACCACTTTAACAGATTACCTGGACGTCTGGCTGCTGGGATGGGAAATACAAATAAATCAGGAATAAACCAGGAGTTCTAAACCGGAATTCAACTGAACTGAACATATTATTTAAAAAAAAAGAGAGAGAATAAAATTGAGTTAAAATTAAATTATTAAAAAAGGTTGAATATTTCAGGAAAAAAATAAATATTTCAGATTTTCTTTGATATATTTTTTAGAAAAACAAACATTACACAAAAAAACTTTAAATATAAATAGTAATAATTTCTGAAAATAGAGGATATTTGGCGTATTAGCAGGAAGTCCTGCTTGATCTGATCCTATAATAAAGGGGGATCAATAGATCAATGGGCAAACATGGAAACATTCATATTGTCCATGAGTTTAGTCTTTCAGTGCATTAGCCTGCAGAAAAAAAAACTGCTCATCACAGTTGGACCAACAGAACCAGAGTTCTGCCTTATTGCTGAAGACATTCAGACTTTGGCTTTTCCAGCTGCAGGTTCAAACACCCAGCAGCAGTTTGAAAGTGGAGAAGACGTTCAACAGATCTGTCATGCAGGTTTCAGTCCATTAGGAGGTGAAGAGATGAGGAGCAGCAGGGAGGAGAGAGCTGATGCTTGGAGAAGGAAGAGGAGGTTGGCGTCGGACCGATGCCTCGCTGACTGTGATCTCCTATGGGGGGTCGTCTAGAAGGTCAGCACTGAAATGGGGAGGACAGTCACTCACAGTGGCAGGCTTTCTGCTTCGTGTGGTGGGAGTGGCATGCAGGAGGAGGAAGAGGAGGAGGACACGCAGGCCACTCACTTACAGTCAACCTCCAGGATGGATCTGACAGACCGTGTCAGCTCCTTCGCCTCCTGGGCGAGTGAGGCTGCCGTCCCGTGACTCTTCCTGTAGCGAGAAGGGATGCTGTGAGGTGAAGAGCCGACTTTCACATCTCCAGCGCTGCAAACAGAAAGGAGGGAAGTCAACAGAGAAAAACAGGAAGCACCACCACAGTAAGGGTCAGAGCAAACCTGTATAACAATCCATCTGATTGGCTGAGACCTTCAGACAAGATGGAGATTTTAATATAGAATGACCTCTGACCCCATTGCTGAGGATGTCATTGGGAACAGCTGCTTGTAAAAAGGATTTCACGATCAAATTAAGACGAGACAAGCAAGAAGAAACCGAAAAAGAATAAACACCAACAGGCCAAATACACACAAACAAAACACACATAATCCCTTTTGGTCTACTAATTAAATCTGTTTGCTTCTCTCAGGGGAAATTTGGGACAAAAATCCCACTGAAGTGATAAAATTCTATAAAAATCACAGCAGATTTAGCAACTAGCTAACTCTAAACAGTAAGGCTCATGATAGAATGTCTTTTCATAAAGCTGCAGGTTTGTCACAAACACCAAACTGCTTCCTGCATTTCCTCCTCTTCCTCACACAGAATACAGACAGAGCACTGGACTGTTCATCTGGACCTTCCTCAGAGGTTCTGTTGGTGTTTAAACAAACAAACATCTCACTCGCATCTTTGGTCTCTGTGGTACTTTGAAGGTGTCATAGATCCCCTGATGACTGTTTCTCACTTAACCGCCGTGCTCTACGCCGCTGCTTCTCTCAGAAGCTAACCTTGTTATTTTCATATTTTATTTTCTGTTGGAGCTTTGAACACAAAACGAAGCTCAGCTTTAATGTGAATCAGGAACCAAAAACTCTTGAAATCAGCAAAACAAAAAATAAATAAATAATTTTTTCTTTCTTACAACACGAACAAAGCTTCAAATGTTCCTCCTTTAATGAACTGATGATTCAGCTGTACGCTTTATCAGGCGAGTGACCCAGATCAGACAAACAGGTGAGTAAAAATAAAGCGAGGACCAAGGGGGGTCCGGTGGGGTGGGGGGTCCAGCAGTTATGAAAGCTGAAGTGTCCCACTGACCTGTAGTGAAACAAAATGTAGACGGCAGGAGATGTGATGGATGACTTAACAACATGACCAAGTGACCGGATTTCCAGCTTACACAACCCACCAGACGGAGCTGATAAACTGGGATTAAACACCGCAGAGGAAGAAAGAAGGAGCTGCGATCAGGATGGCAGATGGAAGAAAATAAAGATAAAATCTTTAAACAAAAGATGGCTGGAGAGAAGAAGGAGCAAAGAAAAAAGCAAAAATAATAAAAAACTAAAAAAGAAAGAAAGGAAAAAATAAAATCTGTTTGATAAAAGGTTGGAAAATAATTAAATAAATCAAGAAAAATAAATAAGAAATTTAATCTGTATAAATATATAGTGACAGTAATAGTATAGAATAAAAAAAACATTTATAAAAAGGACAGAAGTCCAAACAAGACCAAGACAACGTCTGGGAACCAGTAAAGGGAACAAAAGATGAAGAGTTGCTGATAAACTGGTGAACTCATTATTGAACTAAGATGTCTCTGACAGCATTAAAGTCTGAACGACTTTTAATGATTTGTTTCTGAACTTAGACAAAAGTGAAACGAGCCAGATATTTCCTCTATGTTGTTTTATTCGGAAAACACTTTCCATATTGCATCTGAACAATATTATTAAAATCAGGAACTTCCTGAAGAATGCATATAAATGTAAATAATATGCATGTATTGCTTCTAGACTCAAAAACTCGTAAACACCTCCAGCTAATCCAGAACGCTGCTGCAGAGCTCAGATGAGTTAGGCGGAGATGTCAGATTTCTACTAATTTTGCAACAATCCTGTCAAATGCAGATTGGAGCTTTTAATTTAGGAAACTCTAAAAGATCAAGCTCCATCTTATTACAGATCTTATTGTTCCATAAGTTCCCAAAAGAGTGTTTCCCTCTCAGTCATGCAGGTCTACTACGTTCTAAAACTAGCACAGGAGGCAGAACCTTTTCAGGCTCCTCTCTGGTGGATCCAACTTTTGGTTTCCATCCACGAGGCAGCCATCCTGTCCAATTTTAAGACTAGACTCCAGACTTTCCATTTTAATAAGAATGGATTATCCTGGCTCATCCCTTTACTTATGCTGTTATGCAGCTGGAAGACACACTGGGCACATGTCTACTTCTGCTAGCTTTACTCACCCCGTGTCACGGTCCGTGGTGAGCCTCCTGCATGTAACCCTGTTTTCCTCTGAGCATTGTTTCAGGTGGGCGTGTCTGAGAGTCTCCAGCTGCAAATCCTGTCATCAAGGTCCAGGGGATTTAAGGAGCAGTGTGACACTTCACTTCACCGGATGATTACTCTGTTTGGGTAGCTCTAGCCTTTTACCTGTCTCGATCTCGTGGTTTTTCTAGTTCCTGTGCGCCTGTTTGATCTTATGAATTTTTGCTGCATTTCCTGTCGCCAGAAAACCCTGACTACTCTTCCCTGCTCTGCTCCAGGCTTCGCTCCACACCCCACCATCTCCATAACCAGCTTGGTCTCCTGCAACCCAGATCACGCTGTCTCCTCCCCTGGCCGCCCGCTCTCAGCCGCTCACCTGCTCACACCAAACCTCTGCTCCTAACTCCCCTCTGGTTCAACGGTTGCTTCACCTTCTGGATCCTTCCTGCTCACCCGGACCTGACCTAGCCCTCCCTGAGCCTCGGACCTGACCTAGCCCTCCCTGAGCCTCTCACCACCACCTACAATCATTCTTAAGATTACCCTCTGTCATTCCCACCAAATACTCACTCTGTCTCCCTTCTCAGAATCTCCTCCTGGAATCTTGCTGCCAGTCCTGCACTGCGTCTGTTCCCGTTTTTTCCGTTACTCTTCATCTAAAAATAAAGATGTTTTTACGTACTCACCTGTTCTCAGTGTTGTGATTCTGCATGTCGTGGGTCAAGAAACTGCCACCCACCATGACAGAATCATTCGGCCTAAACGTTGACTCCATTGCAGAATCCAATCCGTCCACTAACTTTCCGTTTGCTGTTTCAGATATACTCACACGCCATGAACACGCCATCCATGGCTTACTGGAACAATTCTCCGACTCTCACCGACGGTTACTCCAGATGGACACTATGTTACACAACCTCACTACTAAATTAACTCCTCCGGAACCTACAGTTCAGCAGCTCCCAGTTTCTCCTCCGTCCGCACTTCCGGTTCTGCCTCCTGTTGTAAACTTCCGGATACCTAACTCTCCTCCTTCAGACACCTATTCGTGAGTTCGGCAAATGCCGTGGGTTTCTATTTAATTGCCAGTTAGCTTTTGAAAGTTCGCCTGAAGCTTTTACTTTAGATTCAGTGAAAATTTCTTATATTATCGGGCTACTCCGTGGCAAGGCTCTAGATTGGGCTGAAGGCAGGAACCATGACACCGGTTTTCTGCGCGGTCCGCTCTCATGATTCCTAACTGAATTTAAGCAAACATTCGATCATGCAGAATCCCCAGCTGAGGTAGCCAAGAGATTGTGGAAACTCTGTCAGGGAAATCAAACTGTAGCCGATTTCGCTATAGAGTTTCGCACGCTGGCAGCAATTTCCTCCCTCGATCATGGGTCACTACTCGGGGCATTCACTCAGGGATTAAATGACTGTCTCCGGGATCAGTTGGCATTATGCCAAGCCCCCCCCCCACCCCCCACCCCACCCCCCACCCCCGACCTGGAAGCTCTTATAGCCTTGTCCTTAAAGATTGAGAAACGTCTCAAGGAGCATTCTAAGGACTCTACAATGTAATTTCCACCACTAACTCAGACCAGAACTTCTCAGCCACCAGTCGCATCATCTTCTGGAGGTGAGCCTATGCAGATCGGCAGAACCCAGTTAAGCCAGGAGGAGCGGCAACGTCGTTTTGCCGCCACCCTTTGCCTATATTGTGGTCAGCCGGGGCACAGAATCTCAGGTTGTTTCTTGCGGTTAATAGGGGAAGCCACCAGTAGTTCCGGGATTACTGGTGGGTGGTAATGGTGGTTCAAATTCCCGATGTACGCTTTCCTGTACAGTGATGTGTAATCAAAGAAGTCGTGTGTTGAAGGCCTTGTTGGATTCTGGATGCGAAAGTAATATGCTGGACCAGTCATTCAAGATCTGGACATCCCCACTATTCCCCTTCCGACTCCTCTGCGAGCATCATCCCTGGATGGCAATACCCTCACTACTATAACCCACCAGACCGTGCCAGTCAGCTTACTGGTGTCAGGCAACCACCAGGAAAGTATCACGTTTTTTGTTTTTCCATCTCCTCACTCACCCGTAGTCCAAGGATATGATTGGCTGGTGACTCATAACCCGCAAATAAATTGGAAAACATCCCAGGTTACTGTTTGGAGTACCCACTGTCTAACTAATTGCCTTCGTTCTGCTTCACCTATCTGTTCAGCACCAACATCTGATTCCCCGGTTCTCCCCGACCTGTCAGGAGTGCCGGAGGAGTACCATGACCTCTCCCTTGTGTTCAGTAAGGACCGAGCCTCCTCTCTACCTCCTCACCGACCTTATGACTGCGCTATCGATCTCCTGCCAGGTGCCACACTTCCATCCAGCAGGTTGTATAACCTTTCCAAACCCAAACAGCTCAGGATGTCCACCTACATTAATGAATCCCTTGCATCCGCTATTATCACACCATCCACTTCACCACTGGGGGCAGGCTTCTTTTTTGTCTCTAAGAAAGATGGCTCACTTAGATCATGCATTGACTACAGAGGTCTCAACCAAATTACCGTAAAAAACAAATATCCGCTTCCGTTACTGTCATCCATATTTGAACCAGTCCAAGATGCTACCATTTTCACAAACTGAATCTACTCAACGCATACCATCTCGTCCGTATCAGAGGGTGATGAATGGAAAACAGTGTTTAAAACTCCCCTGGGTCATTTTGAATACTTAGTCATGCCTTTCGGTCTCACAAATGCCCCCGCAGTATTTTAATCCCTGGTAAATTCTGTTCTTGGCGACTACCTCAACCAGTTTGTCACTGTCTATTTGGATGACATTATAATCTTTTCCAGATCCCCTGCAGAACACCGACGGCATGTTAGAAGTGTACTTCAATGCCTCCTGGAGAACCGGCTTTATGTTAAGGCAGAGAAGTGTGAGTTTCGCGTCTCTTCAGTTAAGTTCCTCGGTTTCATCCCTGAGAGCGGGCGGTTGAAGACAGATCCGGAAAAAGTCAAGTTGGTTCTCTCCTGGCCAACTCCCACCACACGGAAGCAGCTTCAATGCTTCTTAGGATTTGCAAACTTGTATCGTCGCTTCATTAAAGACTACAGCCAGACTGCTGCCCCACTCACTCAGCTCACATCCATAAACAAACCCTTTATCTGGTCCTCCTCTGCTGAAGAATCCTTTCAAACCCTAAAAGACAAATTCACACAAGCACCTATCCTGACCAGTCCCGACACTTCCGCCCAGTTCACCCTGGAGGTTGACGCTTCAGACTCTGGCGTTGGTGCTGTACTGTCGCAGGTTTCCCCCTCAGATCACCGTCTCCACCCATGCGCCTTCTTCTCTCGCCGCCTCTCGTCAGCTTAGCGGAACTACAATGTTGGGGATCAGGGTCTGCTGGCCATTAAATTAGCCCTAGAGGAGTGGCGACACTGGCTGGAGGGAGCGGAACATCCCATCATCATCTGGACCGACCATAAAAACTTGGCATGTTTAAAAGAAGCAAAAAGAATAAATCCCCGACAGTCCTGCTGGTCCCTGTTTTTCTCCCGTTTTCACTTTCTCATCTCTTTCAGACCCAGTTCAAAAAACACTAAACCTGACGCCCTGTCCAGACTACTCGCCCGACAAGGATCCTGAATCAGCTCCTATTCTGCCACCATCCTGCATCGTGGGCGCAGTTGCTTGGGACATCACAAAAAGGGTTCAGGAGGCCCAGCAGACTGAACCCGATCCAGGTACCGGTCCACCACAAAAGATTTATGTCCCTACCCGAGTTCGTGGTGACCTTATACATTGGGCCCACACTGCTAAATTCTCTATTCATCCTGGGGTCGGTCGCACTCTAGCTCTCATCCGCAGAACCTTCTGGTGGCCCTCCATGTATAAAGACGTCCGTGAGTACATCAGTGCCTGTTCCATCTGTGGCCGAAAGCCGAAACAAATGCAGTAATCAACCTCCAGCTGGCCTTCTCAACCCTCTTCCGGTACCCACTCGCCCTTGGTCCCACATAGCCTTGGATTTCGTTACCGGTTTGCCCTCCTCTAATGGTTTTTCAGTCATTGTCACTGTTGTTGATTTTTTCTCCAAGTCCTGTCACCTAGTTCCTCTCGTCTCTCCCCTCATCTGCCGAAACTGCCAATCTACTAATCAAACATGTTTTCCGTCTTCATGGTATTCCAGCAGATATCTTGTCTGACCGTGGTCCTCAATTCCTGTACCGCGTATGGAGAGACTTTGCCAACCACCTGGGGGCCCGTGTTGCCCTGAGCTCCGGATTCCATCCTCAGACCAACGGGCAATGTGAGAAGATAAATCAGGAGCTCGAAGCCATGTTAAGATGTGTGTGTTCATCCAACCCCTCTGGATGGAGTTCCCAACTGCCCTGGGTTGAATATGCCCACAACGCTCACACCTCCGCATCCACAGGTTTGTCTCCAATTGAAACCGTTCTAGGTTACTAGCCCCCTCTATTTCCATCCAATCAGGACCCTCCTACCTCAGCCCCCCAGTTCATTCGCCATGCCAGGTGCACCTGGGCTCAGACCACAGCGGCTCTTCAAAGGACAGCTAATCGCAACCGCCGCCTGGCGGATCGCCACAGACGACCCGCTCCTGTATATGTCCCTGGGCAGAATGTCTGGCTCTCCACAAGGGACATCTGGCTAAAAGACACCAGCAAGAAATTAACTCCTTGGTTCATTGGTCCTTATCCCATCACTGACGTCATAAACCCCTCCATTGTCCATCTAGCCTTGCCCCCGTCCATGAGAGTCCACCCAGTGTTCCACGTCTCCCTGATAATGCCTGTTCTTTCCAGCCCTCTGTGTCCTGCTCCCACTCCTCCTCCACCAGCTCGGCTCGTCGGAGGTGGCCTGGTCTATCCGGCCCGTCGTCTCCTCGATGTCCGTCCCCGAGGCAGGGGTCTCCAGTACCTAGTGGAATGGGAAGGGTATGGTCCGGAGGATTGTTCGTGGGTGCCTCGCTCCTTCATCACTGATCCGGATCTCATCAGAGACTTCGAGGCCTCTCGGGCTTCCTCCTCCTCCTCTGCTCGGCCGCCAGGTGGTGTCCGTTTGGGGGGGGGGGGGGGGTACTGTCACGGTCCGTGGTGAGCCTCCTGCATGTAACCCTGTTTTCCTCTGAGCATTGTTTCAGGTGGGCGTGTCTGAGAGTCTCCAGCTGCAGCTAATCCTGTCATCAAGGTCCAGGGGATTTAAGGAGCAGTGTGACACTTCACTTCGCCGGATGATTACTCTGTTTGGGTAGCTCTAGCCTTTTACCTGTCTCGATCTCGTGTTTTTTCTAGTTCCTGTGCGCTTGTTTGATCTTATGAATTTTTGCTGGATTTCCTGTCGCCAGAAAACCCTGACTACTCTTCCCTGCTCTGCTCCAGGCTTCGCTCCACACCCCACCATCTCCATAACCAGCTTGGTCTCCTGCAACCCAGATCACGCTGTCTCCTCCCCTGGCCGCCCGCTCTCAGCCGCTCACCTGCTCACACCAAACCTCTGCTCCTACCTCCCCTCTGGTTCAACGGTTGCTTCACCTTCTGGATCCTTCCTGCTCACCCGGACCTGACCTAGCCCTCCCTGAGCCTCTCACCACTACCTACAATCAGTAAGCTCCCTTCTTAAGATTATCCTCCGTCATTCCCACCAAATACTCACTCTGTCTCCCTCCTCAGATCTCCTCCTGGAATCTTGCTGCCAGTCCTGCACTGCGTCTGTTCCCATTTTTCCTGTTACTCTTCATCTAAAAATAAAGACGTTTTTACGTACTCACCGGTTCTCAGTGTTGTGATTCTGCATGTCGTGGGTCAAGAAACTGCCACCCACCATGATACCCTGCTGGTAATTACGGTTATCGCTGCCCCTAACTTTGTTTTCCTTCCTATTAAAAATAAAAATGGCCCAATCCTGCCATCTTTATTGATCTGTAAAAGTGAAGCTTCATTCCAATCAGATGTCTCTTTCACGTAGAAAACCTCTTCCTAATCAGCATTTTATTTGATCAAAAATTGACTAAATCTGACAGCACTTAGGATAGAAATAGCAGTAAACCTTTATACTTATTTCTGAGATGAATTCCTTGTTGAATTTCTGCAGTTTTTCAAGATAAAACCAATAATTGGAAGTGTTAGAGGGAGCAGCGGACCCTCAGTCTCCCTGCAGGTCAACACGTTTCGTAACGCCACCACTGCCTTGTTGCTGCTCACTGCAGGTGCCCATTAACAGGTGCCAACTGCTGTCCTACCTGAGCTGAAGTGGGCCAAGCTGGACCACTGAGTGTGTGTGAAGCCCAGACTAATGGGCTCTCTGCTGGAGACATCATTACATGGCTGCTACACACTTACACACTTCTGAGGAAGTCACTTCCACTTGAATCCATTTCCTAAACACTTATCGTTCAATTATTTTTTATACCTCATTCTAACCTGGTCTAAATTATGTAAAAACATAAGTATAATGTGAACTTTCATGAGTAATACATGTCAAACAGTGTTCAGGTCTACAGAAAAAATAAGGAAGCCAAGGAGAGGAAAATGACATAACAGTCAATTTGAAACCATAAAAACACAAAAATGATGATAAAAAGTATTAAATTGGCCAGCTGTTGCTATGACAACAACTGTCAGAGGAATAAAAACTCATTAGCTGGTGTGCAGTGTTGCTATCGAGCAGCAGACTGCCAATCAATGTCTTCTCACTCTGTCATAGAAATGTACACACACACACACACACACACACACACACACACACACACACACACACACACACACACACACACACACACACACACACACACACACACACACGCAGGCAGGCACCATCATACACAGACACACACTTTACCTGAAGCTCTTTGTGGGTCTGTGACTTTCCAACAGAAACTCTTGAACATTCTACAAAAACAATCAGAAAAACAAACAACACTTTGTATATTTTTTTAGATTCACCAGTTTTGATTCATAAAGGACAATTCTGTTGTGCATCTTGATTTAAAATAACGTTACAACGCAAAAAAAATTGTAACTAACGTCCTGTTTGCATCAAAACTAAATGCAGCTGTGAAGTGAAAGTTTCTGTTTATTGTTTGTTTTGACTGTTTACCTCCACAAAACTTAGCAGTTTTCCTGTTGACATCTCGAAACTCTTTTTTGCTGCGTCACTCTTCCGTAGTTGACACTCAAGAACAGCCACCCTCTTCTTCAGCTCCTCTGTCTCCTCCTGAAGTAAACAACAACAACAACAACATGAGGTTGTTTCATGAGATTTTGGAAAGTTTAGACTAAACCTGAATGCATGCTAATGCAACAGCTGATCACAATAAACAAACATGAGTGGCGTTTTCAGATTTTACACAATAACATTTGAATGCTGCTCCTGTTAATAAAGAAGACATCCCTCTTTAGTTCCAGAACTTTTGGGCAACTTTGTGATTCTTTACATCAGAGATGTAAAGCATCTAAGAAGATGGGAAAAAGTCTCATTGTCAGTGAAAACATGTTGATTTTACAAGATCAACTATCAGAACTCAGTGATGAATCAAACTAGATGAACTGACTCGGGGGAAGTAGAGTTCACAGTGAATCAGCTAGAATCTCTGTAAAAGATCTCCAAAGAATATTAACAGGATTCAAGCTGGCTGGTTTGGATTCAGCAAATGAAAGCTGGTTCAGCTGGAGGTCACAGAGGTTACCTTCTTGGGTGCTGGGTGGTCCAGACTCTGAGTCTTCAGCTCAGCGATCTCAGCCTCCAGCAGGTGGATGACTTCCTCATAGTCCATCTCCATCCCCCTGGCTTGCTTCTGAGCTTCCTCAGCCAGCTGGATCTGAGTCTTCAGGGCACGGCTCTCCTCTGCTCCAACTTTCACCTCCTGCAGGGCGGACGACGAAGATGAAGGGCAGGTTTACAGGTGAGGAGGAATGCATTCAGGGCCAGCATGGCTCATAGCGTGACCATGATGAGACTTTTCGAAGCTCAGGAATGTTTCTCTGAATCAGCAGGTCACTGAGCTCCTGTCACTGTGCAGCACCTCCCTGAGTTTGAAAAGGTTAAACTTATTTAAAAAGAAGCGTCACTGAGAAAACCAGGATACGACTTGAGACAAAGGAAAAAGCTCTTTCTTAATGCGGTGAGAGTTGTGAACTTTTCCCCTTTATGTTTATTATTGATTTTTGGTGAGTGTATTTTTTGTTTAGGTTGTTCAGGTGAACACACTCCATCCTCCTGTTTGAATTGCTGGTAAACAACAATAAAAGAGAATGAATCTGAATCTGAAACTTGAAATGAGGGCTCCATGGTGGCACAGTATAAGTCCTGTTGCCTCACAATAAGAAGGTTGCAGGTATGAGCTCAGACTGCAGCCTTTCTGAATGCGGTTAGCATATCCTCCTCGTTTTGATTGGAGAATATACAATAAGAGTGAGGTTGAGTTGCCTGTCTTGTTTGTGTGGCTATGTACGGGTGACGTCTCCAGGGTGCATCTTGCCTGGCAAATGACCTGTATTTATGTAGCACCTTCAATGGTTGTGAAATCACAATGCAACCATAGAAACACTACTTGGTAGGTGTGTGTGTGTTTATGTTTATGTTTATTCATTTAGCTGACGCTTTTATCCAAAGCGACTTGCAATTTATAACCTATAGGGCATGTTGCGATCTGTGGGGGAAACCGAAGCACCCGGAGGAAACCCACGCATGCATGGGGAGAACACGCAACTCCACGCAGAAAGGCCGCAGTCGAGCCGAGTTTCGAACCTGCAACCTTCGTGCTGCGAGGCAACAGTGCTAACCACTGCGCCACCATGCACTGTGTGTGTGTGTGTGTGTGTGTGTGTGTGTGTGTGTGTGCGGGTGTGCGCGTGCGCTCTCTCTTGTCTGGCAGATGGCTGCTTATACTGAGCCAGGATCCTCTGGAGGTTTCTACCTGTTAAAAGGGAGTTTTCCTCTCCACTGCTGCTGCATGCTTGCTTAGTATGAGGACTGCTGTAAAGACTCTGACACTAGTCAGTAACTTGATGCAATTTGCTGGGTTCCTTATATAGGAAACTTTTTACTGATTGGCTTAAAGAACTGACCCTATATTGGAATGTTTACTATGTGAAGTGCCTTGAGACGACTCTTGTCATGATTTGGCGCTATATAAATAAACTTGAATTGAATTGAATAAAACCAGCTATCAAAACAAAGAGCCTTAAAACATCTAAGAGAGCAAAAACAAGCATATAAGGTGGTCATATGCCAAAGGCCAGTTCATAAAAATGGGTCTTCAGTCTTGACTTGAAGACAGACACCAATGATGACTGCCAAATGGCGATGGGGAGGGCATTGCGAAGGATAGGTGCGGCATGCACAGAAGCCCCCTCCCCACTTGTTTTATATTTCATTTTGGGGGTGTACAGCAGCAAGCGGTCGGCTGACCTCAGAGAGAGCTCTGGCACATAGGGTGTGAGTAATTCTGTAAGGTGAGCAGGTGCCAGGCTGTTCAATGCCTTATAGGCAAAGAGAAAGATTTTAAAACAGACCCTAAAGGTCACGACCAGTGCAAATGTGCCAAGACCGGTGAAATGGAAGTGCGTCTACTCGTGCTTGTCAGAAACCTCGCAGCAGCATTCTGCACAATCTGCAGCCGGTTCAAGGCTGAGGAGCACCAAAGTACAGTAAATTTGCATAATCCAAACATTAGGTAATAAATGCATGTGTCACTGACTCTTTAGAAAAATATTGTCGACTTTGTGACACATAGCACATATGACATATAAAGTACATCAGGAGCTGATCTAGCATCTTTAGGGGCATCTTATTAAATGCCATGTTTCCTTCTGGCCGGCCTCAGGGTCCTGCCAATGATGTCACACTAGATGATTGGCTGTATGTACGACCTACATATCAAAACCTGGATGGCTGGGAGCTTTCTTCAGCTGAATGAAGATAAGACTGAGATCCTCATCTGTGTCCCAGACAAGCTGGTTCCTAAAGTCAGAGACTCTCTTGGTCAGCGTTCTTCTCACACCAAACCCTCTGTCAGGAATCTTGGTGTGACCTTTGACCCAGCTCTCACCCTGGATTCTCATGTCAGTTCTCTTGTTCGCTCTTCCTTCTTCCATCTCAGGAACATTGCTAAGCTGAGTCCCATTCTGTCCCACTCTGAACTTGAGACAGTTATCCACACCTTCATCTCCTCACGCTTAGACTACTGTAACTTTCTTTTCACGTGTCTGAGCAGAACCTCCCTGAATCGTCTGCAGGTGGTTCAGAATGCCTGTGCTCGGCTTCTGACCAAGTCCTCCAAACACACCCACATCACCCCACTTCTCCTCCAGCTTCACTGGCTGCCAGTCAACTTCAGGGTTCATTTCAAGATCCTGGTTCTGGTCTATAGGGCCTTACATGGACAAGCACCATCTTACATTGGTGATCTTCTCAGTCCCTACACCCCCAGCAGGTCCCTGAGGTCCAGTGACCAAAGCCTACTGGTTGTGCAGCACCAGGCTAAAGACCAAAGGTGACAGATCATCTGCTGCTGTGGCCCCCAGACTCTGGACCTCTCCCCCTGAGCCTGAGATCAGTGGACTCAGTGGTCTCCTTTAAAAATCAGCTGAAACTCACCTGTTCAGGCTGGCTTTGGTGATCTTCATCACCACCCTCTTCTTTTTCTGCTCTTTCTACTTATTCCGCCTTTCCCGTGATCCACCAATTTCCCTCTTTCCTATTGATTTTCTCTCTCCCTTTCCTTTCATCAATGTTTGAATGCTTGAAACAAAAAATACCACCGACCACATCTTTTATAGTACGCTAATGATTTTCTCAAATTTAGTAGGTTTTTTGTCAGCTTTAAAGTGATGTCTTCGGTTTAGCTGTTGGTATTATATTTTTTGTGCTACAAGCCCCAGAAGGAGGGCTGTGCCAGCTTTCCTCCATTTAAACACCTTTTTTAAAAAAAGGCACATGTGGCCGACAGACAGCTGAAATGTTCTCTTCATATCTTCTAGAACATTTGTGATAGGCACACAAGACTTCACACACGACCAGCAAAGCTTTTTGCCACCCACACCTTTTGAAATTTTCAAATCGGTGCAGTACTTTTCGAATGCTTATGAGAAGTTTGACAGGTCCAATTTCACTTCTGAAGGACAGATTTAAAGGCTTCTCTCATTAACAGGAGTACAGCTGCATGTCTCCAACAGCCGGGGGAAAAGGCGGGCAAACAGTGCTGCTCTCTGATTGGTTGAGAGTGTTCAACCATTTTCTGTCCAAGCAGGATCGAGCACCCACACATATCATACATCAAATCGACCAGCTTGGTCTCAGGAATCTCGTATTCAATTTTAAATGTGTTATCTGTTACCATGGTAACACAAGTGCATAAGGATATCCCCAAACTAGCCTCACTGAAATGAATGTGAAAAGCCTAATATTGAGCCTATAATACTGCTGTTTCTTATCTTTCTGAGCTCTATACACTTAAAACTAGCAGCATAGCTGACATTTTAACACTAGTCAGAAGGCAGAAACCCCCCCCCCCCTCCTTCGCTGCCCTCTCATTGGCTGAGAGTTTTCAATCGTCTTCTGCCTAAAAGGAAATATGCACCCACACATATGATACATCAGTTCAACCTGCTAGGTCAGGAGTCTTGAATTAACTTGATATTGTGTTCTGTGTTACCATGGTAACGTGCTTAACAACAACATTTAACAACATTTTAGACACAACTGTATCAACACACTTTAATATAGAAATGTTATTCAAAATTTAAGAGTCATGTGACATTGTACATTGCTTTATTAAAGCAGACTCCAGTCATATGTTACCATGGCAACACAAGGAACTGCAAATCACTTTAACCAAGTCTCATAGGAATGAATATAAAAAGCTGAATATTGAGCCAATAACAGACTCCTGTTTTTGATCTTTTTGAACTATCTGTACTTAAAACTAGAAACAAGTTAAATTTGATTGACCGTCAGAAGGTGGGAAAGTGTCCCGCTCCCTCCCAGCTTCCTGATTGGTTGAGACAGGTCAATCATCTTCTGGCTAAATGGACTTACACACCCACACATGTCAGACATCAAATCGATCGGCTTGGCCTAAGGAATCCATCCATCCACATATAAATCCATCCATGCTTCTGTCCATCCATCCATCCATCCATCCATCCATCCAATAAACCATCTAACATCGATCCAACAGTCCGTCCATCATTTCATTCATCCAACCATTCATCAATTCCATACCAAGTCTGAAAATATGTTAATCTATCAGTTTCAGATATCAGTAAATGTTTCTGAATTCACAGTTCGGCCAATTGTAAAAATGTACCTATTAAACTATTCTCATTCAAATGCCAGCTGTTTAAACATTTCAACTTTTGAGTTTTTAATCAATGTTCAAAGATTTAAGTTTTCTGCTGTTTAGCATTTTTTGTCCATTCTCCACCTATATTCTGAGCTTTATTACACTTGTTGGTGATTTTTGCTTCTAAATATTTCAATACATTCAGCTCATTTGCCAGTTTAGCTTAGTTTCAGCTTCACTTCAGCTATTCAACAACTTCAGCAATCAGTTACCAAATTTAGCATAAGCTGCTAATTTCATAGTTCAGCTAAATGTAAAGATTAAACTGTTAAACTTGTCCAACTGAAATAACAGGTTTTTAGACATTTTAGCTGTACAGATTTTTATACAGTGTTCACAGATTTCAGTTTTTTGCTATTTAGGATTATTTTTCTCCATTCTTCACTTACTTTTTGTGCTTTAGTGATTTTTGCTTCTACATCTTTCAACACGTTCAGCTCATTTTGCCAGTTTTGCTTACTTTCAGCTTCAGTTCAGCTATTAAGCTGATTCAGGTAACAGTTTAAGCTATCCAGCATTCAAACAGTATTTCTGCAAGAAGTGCAATCTATCTAGCTATTTTTAATCACAATTTTTATTGTTTTTTTCTCATTTAAACATATTTTGAAATCTTTTTTATACTTCAATTGTTTCTTTTGTTCGTGAAGGGCCTCATGGTTTTTATCTTGAGAGGCGTTATATAAAGATTGTTTCCTTTTCTTCTGTTACGGAGGTTATGTTACCATGTTCACAAACATTTAGGTAGTAAGAAACATGAATTTAATAACAAAACTGTTACATTTTTTCCAAAACATATGTGAAAGAACAGAATTGGAAAAGAGATGCAATATATTTTGGCCGATTGGTGTTGTAGTAGCATGATGACATCATCAGCAAGCATAGGACCCCGAGCAGATCCAGCGCCAGAAAACTAGCATCAGCGTTGCCGTCCCTCGATGGAATTAACTGAAGGAGCATCCAAGTCTGAGGAGTCACGACGAGGTTGCATGCTTTCTGCTTCACAGGTAACAACATTTACTGTAGTGTTTCAGGAACTAGCAACAGTCACGGCCATATGGTGTAAAAGTACCCTGAAATGTATATACTGCCCCCTATATATAAAGCATCAACAAATATGGCCACAAACACTATAAAGGTGGGTGCTCTCTCCACATGCTTCAGTGCTTCAGAAAAGAAAGAGATCCAACTCTCAGCAGGGGCATGAAGAACATAGCAACATTTAGACCTTCTTAGACAGAAGCAGCCCCTCCCAGAAACGTTAGAACCATGTTAGCTCGCTCCAGCTGTGAGCTGCTCCTCCTGCTGTAATGTGATCCAGTGAAGAGGGATTTACAGTCATGACGTTTGTCACACTACTCTGTGCAACTCTATCTGGGAAACACCAACTCTAACCTGTTAGACCATCAGATCACACACACACTTTTGCTCTGCTGACATCTGATGACTTGTAAACAAAGACTGAGGGAACACTGTGAGGAACCCTTGAGCTCCTGAGCACCCTCTGCAGGTTAAAGCCTTCAAAACCTTTGAGTCAGTGTTTTATCTTTATTTTTCCTGACATCCCTGCAGCAGGTTCAGCTGAAAGCAGAGACAAAAATGTGTCTCTGTTAGAGCAGCATGGGACTGAGATCAGAAATGTTTCTGGGTTTCAGGTAAAGCCTTCTTTGTGTTGATGGATTTCAGCAGGAAAAATCCCTTCTGAAGGAAGCAAGGTTGCAAACAGGAATGAACTTGGCAGCTCTGGTGTTCCTCCTTCAGTGTTGTCGTATTGAATGTGTTTTTTTATCACACAAACAGGGAGGCCACACTCTCCATCTGCCAGCTCTAAGGGCTTCAGGTGAAACTCTGTAAGTCCCTGACTCATGTCTAGAAAGTTAGAGTAGAGATGCACCAGGTAACGCATCTGGAGATCCAAATCAGACAAGTATTATTATGGTTAGCTTTATTATTAGAACAAAAAAAATCTGCTGTTCTTATTTAGTCTGTGAACACACCAAATCACATCACCAATAACTAAACTTCCAAATACCCCACAATCATAAAAATTTTGATTGTGAATTGAATTAAAATTTATTTAAAATTCATTCAGTTTGTTTATGGTTCTTTGTGATAAATCTGAATTTGTCTGAAATCTGTATGGACAGGCCAGACCTGTGCAAGAATAAGAAACAGTGCATTTCTATTAAACTTCATGTAAATCTGCTGAGGAAACACTTTAAAAAAGTATTTTTAAAACAGACTGTTTGTAAAGCTGTAGTTTATTAAAAGTTCTCCATTTGAAATTTAATGTCTAAAAATCACTAAATAAAGTTAACATATTTTTGTTTTAAACCGGAGCTGAAAACACGATGACAAACAGTTTATCTAGCCATCAGCGCCACCATGCATCCCGAATCTCTCTGCTCTGAGAGTCTAAATTACATATGGTAAGTGTCCTGGTCTGCTTTGCTGTTACCGTACATCTCTTAGCTGCATCTGAATTTAGATATTGATTAGTTTATGCAATGGTAGAGAAGCTGAGAGGCAGCAGAGAGAAGGGAGGAAAGCGAGAGAGGCTGAGACCCTAAGCAGTGAGTCACAACAAATGAGCAGAGAAACTATTTTAGAGACAGGAACAGAGGCCTTACAATCCTACTGCAGGAGGCTTGGTGCTGCAGTGTAGGTTTACTGTAACCTCTAACACACACATTGTGTGTGTGTGTGTGTGTGTGTGTGTGTGTGTGTGTGTGTGTGTGTGTGTGTGTGTGTGTGTGTGTGTGTGTGTGTGTGTGTGTGTGTTTGTGCACGCTAACTTTACGTGAGCAGTTCCTGCACCATCTTTGAAACACAACATGTGCTGGTTTTATTTTTACTCTCAAATCCAGATTTTTTCAACCTTATCTTGAGAAACCATCAAGTTCAGCTTCTACTTTAGGCTACAACAGTGAAGCATCTTTCTGGACCATAGAGAATTGATGAAACTTGGCAACACAGCAGTTTGGTTTGATTCTTTTGGATCCTTGTCTCCACCAGGCCGGCACTGGTTTCCACTGGATTAGTGTAGCAGGTGTGAGACTCACCTGTTTGACTTTGCTGAACTCCTCCTCCAGATCCTGGTGAACCCTCTGGGATTCCACCAGCTGCTCCTGCAGGAACCAGAATCAACAGGAAGCTAAGCCTCTAACCGGTCCGGTTTCATCCTCCAGCAGAAGGTGAAGGTGATATTACCTGCAGCCTCTTGATTTCCCTCAGAGCTTCGATGTGCTCCTTCCTTAGACGCTCCATCTCCTCCAAGTCATCAGAGTCTGATAGTAACGGCTGTGCAGAAACACACATGGAGAAATAACCTGACTCTTTCAGGATATTTTGTTTCTTTCACAGAAAACGCTGACAACTTGAGATGATCACAAAAATATTCGTGCACTCAAATCCTGTAATTTCTAACAGACAGGTGTTTCTATATTGTTCAGTCACCGGCGGCTGCACATTATTCCTAATGAGTGGCCCTGAGTTCATGCTGGAGAGTCAATCAATTCTGATGGCTTCACAACCCTGTGAAGTTAAAAATCTTTACATCTTGTTGATTGGATGGTTCCTCCCATCAGAGCATCAACAGATCAGTGAATGGTGTCAATAAGCTTCCATCACGCTGCTCTGAAAACACAGTTAGTTCTGATTAAAGTAGTACATGTGATGCATGATTTCTGCAAACAGAGACCTCCTCAAGAGAGGCACCAGGAGGTGTCAGAAACACAGGAGAAGAGGGTTCTGCTCAGAGTCTAAACCCAGTCTGAGCCTACTGCTGCAGCTTACTCTGCTACTTTGCGCATGTGTCTTTGGTTTGTACTTTGACATCCCACGCTGGGTCTGCAGCTGAGTGTCTTTATGAAATTTCGATGTCGGTAGTGTTCTGGTACCGGTGGGTTGGTGGGAGACTCCAGCAGGCTGCAGAGGTCGTCACAGGTGAAGCTGGACCCTGATTGGGTGCCGAACAGCTCGTCCAGCTGAGGTTTGAAAAGCTCCCGGATCAGGCTCTCAAAGTCTGGAAGCAAGACAAACACACACGCGCACGTGCACACGCACATGCACACACACACACACACGCACACGTAAATGTAAGGGTGTTTGTTGGAAAGGATTCTGCATGTTTTCTGTTCACAAACGATGATCTGATCTATCAGACAGACTTGTCTGTGCTTGACATTTTTCACGCTGCTCGTTAGATTGGTTTAACCTGCAACCCTTTCATGTTATCTATCATTTAAATATTGCTTCCAGACTTTGAGAGCAACCAGTCCGACTTTTGAGCAGAACTAATTTATCAAATTGATTCAAATCTCAGTTAAAAATTAATAATATGACACATTTCAAGTAAAATACAGAATCAGCTCAAGGAAACAATCTGGATCCAATAACAGAAACCCAGAAACTCCAAGGTTCCAGAACAGTCAGTGTGTGTGTGTGTGTGTGTGTGTGTGTGTGTGTGTGTGTGTGTGTGTGTGTGTGTGTGTGTGTGTGTGTGTGTGCAAGTGTGCATGGGTGTGAGTGTGTGTGTGTGTGTGTGTGTGTGTGTGTGTGTGTGTGCAAGTGTGCATGGGTGTGTGTGTGTGTTTTTGTCATACCTGCGAAGGCCACGGTCCCAGTTGCATCCGCTAGTAGTCTGGACCTGAGCAACTGTCGCTGTGTGTCTGTGGGCTTCAAACCAATCAGGTCCAGGGCCTGGACACACACGGACACACACACACACACACACACACACACACACACACACACACACACACGGGTCAATACATACTGGGGGCAAAACCATGAACTGACACATGCAGACTCTGATCATGATTTGAGGACTGTTTGGTTCCCATGTCTATTTATGTGCAGTCATTTCACTAAAGAACAAAATCAATTTTATTTTATTTTTCTTTGATGTTCATTGCCATTGGTCGCAAACTGTCGTTTTGCTCTCTGTGGAACAACTGACAGACCCAGTTTCAGAGAAATAAGGACCTGCTCGAGCCTCTCCATCTTGAACCGACAGCCGGCACTGAGGGAACATTTCCTCTGAGGTGGCTGAGGACTCGGATCTGAAAACACACCAAAAAAAGATTAATCAATATTTTATCTATTATTATCTGTTCAGATCTCAGCATGAACTCAAAGAATAATTCAAACTGAAGCAAAATGTCAGTAATAGTATAAAAACCAGCAGCTTGTTTCATCTTTTAGCTCACATAGAGATCAGTCACAGCTTGCAAGAGAAAAAATAGCAATACCATTGCCTTTGTAACTGGAGAGAATAACCTCCCATAAAACCCCATCCCATGTCTCAGTCCCGAAATATGACGTCAAACTCAAGCACCTGCAATAATCTGACATATGGAGGAAGACCTCAGGACTCCTCGCACACAGAGACGTGATGAAGCTTCACACCCAAGCAGCCAATGGGGCAACAGATCTCCCACCGACATCACTTCCTCCTCACCATCTGCTGGGCTTTGATAGTAAACTCAGACTGGATCTTGGGTTTGTAACCAGTCACGATGTTCAGATAGAAAACACACAGATCATCTCTCAGGGAACAAAACATCGTGTTTCTGCTTCTAATGAAGCAAGTGGGTTGCCAGTTCAAACCCAGGCTCCGTCTGATTTAGTAGTTGTGTCTTAAGTAGTTGTGACATTTCACCCGCTTTGCCCGCTGCTGGTGGTCGGAGAGACAGGTGGCTGCTGTTAACGGCGGCCTCGCCTCCATCAGCGTGCCCCAGGGCAGCTGTGGCTGTGCCCGCAGAACACCAACCAAATCTTCTACGCTGTGCTCACCCTACTGGCTTTTCTGCTTGAGTTCAAGTGAAACAAGTTCTACTTCACTGGTTTAAACTTCATCTCTCACCTGGGTTTGTGTCAGAGCTGCTGTCACTCGCGGGTGGAGATGAAACACACGTAGGTTCTGTTCTGGCTTGAGACACTCGCACCTGCAGGTATGAACAAAAAAACCTTCTGGATGACAGTCATATGGTCTGGACCAGAGCTCAAGAGAAGGTAAATGAACTGCAACATTCTGGATTCGTTTTTCTGCTTTTACTTTAACCCTTTGATGCATGAGTTATGAAATCTTCAACTATGATTTTTTTAAACAATTTTTTTCATTCATCTTTAGGTGTGAATGAAACAAATTTCAACAAATATCTTTTGTAATGTTTTGTTAATTTACAAATAATTTATTACATGTCCACCTCAGTGGACAGCGTGCATTCTGAACATGAAATATGTTGGCTTGACTCACTGAGGTCCAAATGGAGGGGCTCAAATGCAATAAAGTCTTCAACACCTGTGCTTAATAGCAAAAATAAATAAATAACAATTTTGAATACCTGTCCACTGTAGTGACCATTATGCATCAAAGGGTTAAAAAATGTCAAGGATGTATAAATCAGCTATTCTTTTTTTTTTTTTGTTTTACAAACTAAATACTGACCGTTAATCTCTCTAAATGTACCCCAACACCTTGATCAAAGGACCACATGGTGATTCTTTGTTCAGGACTCTGCAGCTTAAATAATTTTTGACTCTCTTTTGTACGTTTGTTCTGTGTGTAACTTTATAATCTATTACTTTGTTCTTTTTTTTTACACAGCCTGTGGATTATTTTTGACGCAGTTTCAGAGTCGATATAAAAGCTGAACCGTCAATAAAATATTGTGTTACACGTAAAGGTTTTCATTAGAAATATTCCCTGCTAATTTTCCTAGTCCTCTGACTTGTGTGTGAGCCACACGTGTGCATCATAAAACCATTGAATCAGTGTTTTAAGAAGCTGTTTCTGTAAATAAGCTGAAACGAGAGCCGGTTTGCAGCAGCTCGTGCGTATTTGTCTCCTCTCAGACCTGGGTGATGTTGACTGGGGGCAGCGTCTCACAGGTTGGGTTTCGGCTTGATGTGATCTTGGTGACAACACTTGGCTGTGGAGCCATGGGGCCTGGGCCAGTGGCCCTCGACTGGGGCCCACCTCCACCCCCCTGCAGGCAGACAGGGCTGTGTGAGCCGCTACTGGAGCTGGAAGACGATCTCCTTCTGATGAAGGCAATTTCCACGGTAGGGTCAGGTCTGAAATACAAGGTCAGGATGAATTCAAACTCTTCCCCATTGGTTGGTGAATAACTTCCTGCTCCAAGTGAGTTGGACCTGAGCTTGGTGCGAGTCAGGATGCTCCTGGCCTCCTCATATGTCACACCAATCAGAGACTCTTTGTTGATGGACACCAACTGGTCTCCCACCTGCAGGCGGCCATCCTGAAACAGAACAAATCCAGCTGTCAGGCTCTGCTGTGTACCAGGTCTCCTGACCCAAAGTCTAATTGGAAAAATCATCTCCAAAATTTTACTACTGAAGATGTTTTCAGACTTTAAGTTAGAGGAGATTTCACATGAAAACAAAAATGCACAGCAGATGATCTTCAACAAACTTAAAGATGAGTCTGGAAAACAAATACCATCCTCAAATGTGTGCTGAACATGGCAGAAGCTGACCTTCTGGCAGTCTCCTCCAGAAACAATTTCCTGAATGAACACCATTGGTCCTTCGGCTCGATTGGCTCCTCCCTTAACGACCAGCCCCAAGCCGGTTCCCTTGGCCACACATATCAACTGAATGACACTGTCACTGAGGAAAAGGAGAAGAGACGAGAGGATGACTTAGTCAGCAGCAGCATGAAATAATCTCTAACCCTCCTCCTCTTGCTCTGCATTTAAAAGAGCTGAAGTAGCGTTTCACTATTTATAGGTTTTGCTGGTGTTTCCATGAAGCAGATTCACAGTTTAACGTTTGTGTAACCGAGAGAAAAACATTCTGTAGCAGCTGCATTAAACAGGATGAAAAATGGAGAGAATCTCAGTTAGGGATAACCTCAGGTGATTTCATTTTATAAAGGCTGACGACAGGAAAATACCAGCCTTATCTAAACACACTCTTGGAATTCTCTTGATGAGCTCCACGAGGTAGTCCTTTAAGACTGGTGGAAACCCCTTTTCAGGGGACTACCTCTTGAACCTCATCAAGAGAATGCCAAGAGTGTGTAAAGCAGTAATCAGAGCAAAGGGTGGCTATTTTGAAGAAAACAGAATAAAAAACATGATTTCTGTTATTTCACCTTTTTTGGTTAAGTACATAACTCCACATGTGTTCATTCATAGTTTTGATGCCTTCAGTGAGAATCTCCCAATGTTAATGGTCATGAAAATAAAGACAACACATTGAATGAGAAGGTGTGTCCAAACTTTTGGCCTGTACTGTATATATATATATATATATATATATATATATATATATATATATACACACACACACACACACACACACACACACACACACACACACAGCGTCTCCCCTAGACTATGACCCCCCCCCACCCCCTCACCCACCCCCCCACCCCCCCGAACTTCACTTACTGTGGGTGCAATGGGGTGGTGTGGTGGCATCAGCTGGCATAGGCCAGACGAAGGCCGCACTGCCCGCTCACCAAAGCCATGGAATACACCTCATCAACACACACTAACGCTATATTGGAGCAGGCGGAGGGAGACTAGGGGTCTTTGCACACCTCTATTGTTGCTTGGCTTCCTGGGGCTGGAGGCTAGGAGGGAGATCTGGCCATCTGGTTGGAGTCTGGGGTGGTGGGTTGCTGTGCTCAGCGTTGGGCGGGGGAGCCTGCTCATCAGCACCCCAGCAGAAAGGGTCAAACTCTGGGAACCAGTAATGGTTGTACCCAATGTGCAGCAGTACCGGGACCAGAGTGAATAGGTTGTGTATGGAGAGCATGAGTGGGTGTCCAGCGTGCATTTTTGTAAGTCTTTGGTTGTATGTGTATGTGTGAGCATGAGGAAGGGAGTGTGTGACTTGACTGTGTTTGTGTATGACTATATATGTCAGGTGGGGCCTTTGACTCCTCCCTTCTCCTGGGACTTCTTTTGATGATATAGATCTTCGTCTTCCCCCTCCCTGCCACACCTGGTGTGGAGTGCGGTGCCTTGGTCTGCCTGAATGTTCGTGGCTCCCGGGCATGGACGTCATTTTCGCTTTAGAAGTGGGGGGGACACGGGGGGGGGGGGGGGGGGGGGATCTTTACAGTATGCTCTAATGGGAAACAGGCTTCAACACAAACGGTTGTTTTCCGCTTGGTCCTAGAGCTCAACCAGTGTCAATTTAATATAAAGTAATATTGTTTTTGGATGGTAAAAAGTGCAGGGGTCAAAACTTGACTTGGAAAAAGTGGGGGGGACATGTCACCCCCCTCCCCCCCCCAATTATGTCCATGCTCCCGGGTCAGGGGGTTTAAGATTTTTGGCGTCTGCCTGATCAATCCCGGTGGCTGCCTGGTGGGGTCTGGGTCCCTGGGCTCTGCTGGGTCCCCGGCGGGGGTGGTCGCCCCTGGGTCCCGGGTCGCTGGGTCCTGGGCTCGGCCGGCTAGGGGGTGGGAGGCTGCGGGCGGGCCTGTGGGCTTGCCACTTATATCTCCCGGGACTCTGCCGGCTGCTGGTTGTGGCCCCCTGGGGCAATCCTCTGCACCTCTTGAGGGGGGCGGGGGCCTTTCTGGTTGCAGTCTCCTTGGGGTTCCTGTATTCTGGGGCAGCACCTGGATCTCTGGGACTTGGAGCTCCCTCCATCTCATATGCATCTTTGGGGGGCAGATATGTGGCCCCTCACACTCTCTACTGGATGCTCCCATAGAGAAACCTTACATATACAAGCGCGTGTACGCACACAGGTACTCACATGGTGCTCTCATAAGTATGGCTTTGGGCACGTTCAACACAGGTCTTAAGGCTATGGTGGGCACTAAATGCACTATGATTAATTATCGTGTGATTGTTCAGTTAAACAATGTTGATTGTTCAAGTTGACGCAGTGATAGCTTGCTCTTGTTGTATTGTTGTGTGTCCCATTTTTTTAATTTTTATTTATTTATTTTTCTCTTTTTTCTCTTTTTGATCACTTTTTATATTAGGTTTATTCTGGGTGTGCAGCACAGACAACCCCATCAGTCTTCTCAAACCCTCTGCAGCTGTTGTACCTGAAGGCGTGCACTGATGTGTGCATGCTGTAGGCGGGGTTGCTAGTGTAGTGCGGCGTGTGGGGGTAGGCAGTGACGCCTCCCTCTTTGGGACTGAGGAGCTGGGGGCTCTCTGATCGGGAGGAAGAGGAGGAGGATGCCGTGTCCATCAGTTTCCCTGAGCAGAAACAAGAGAAAGTAGTCAGCAGGGAGAGGGAAATATGAAGGGGGTTAAAGGAGCTAGAGAAACTGGAACAAAAGATCCACCTCTTTATATAAATATGTAGAATATCTTTCACCATCAAAAGACATTTTTATGGCAGAACTTTTAAAAAGGAACATTCATTAAATTAAAGAACAACATTTATTTACTTATAAAGGACAGACTTTTAAAAACTATTTTAATTCGTTTTTATTGTCAATCATTTTAAAAAGGTTCAGAAATATTCAGACACTGATTTCTGACTCAACATAAACATTTTTTGAAAGCTGTGCATTTAACTGCAAATCTGACCTCGTCGTTCAGAACTATAACAGCAAGTTACCAGCCAGACGGTAAAAAACACTTCCTCTATGCTGGAGGCATATTACCGTAGTGCGTGTAGTAAGTGCTTCCTACCATAAAACACCCAAGAATGCTAGCACCAGATATGAAAACGTATTTATCTACTTATCAACTTGTTTAGCTTGTTGTCTAAAACCTTCTGGTGCTGATCCATAACTGGCAACAGCCACGAAAGCTTAAGAATCAGGAGTGAGAGAGTGATTGCAGTAACCAAACCTGACCACAGGGTGTCATCTTACTCTATACAGACTTCACCTTTAAAGTCGTCACGTCAATATTTTGTGAAACAATTAAAAAGCTTTTAAAAAGAAATGCTCAAAATGTCAAACCACATTCCAAGAGAAGTTTTCTCACATTTGTGATACAGCATTGTGAAGAGAAACGTTTTCTTTTGTTTGGTGAAAGTTGCGAAAAACCTTCCATCTGTTTTTTCTTTAGAGAGTTTTGATGTGTGATGTTTATGTTAGTGTGTTTTACCCATCGACAGCTGCGTCGGAGAGATTCGTCCTGAAGCCGTGATGTTGTTGGAGCCGTACTTTTCCATCAGCTCTGCAAACTCCCTCCTGCAGCACTCAAGAACACATCATTAGATCATTTCTGGTTTCCCCCTCATTGTTGACACCAGTGATGAGACTGCTGTAGTTCCCGCATCTCAGACAGTTAAATGACTTGTTCTGATTTAAACTATTCAAATTTGACTCAAAAATCTACAGTTTTATCTTTTCACTGTTTTTTCTTGCACCTGAAAAGCAAATTGATGAAATGTGCTTGATAAATAAACCTGCACACATTGATTATTTCACTTTTACATCTATTATTTTCTAATGTGTCTTTTGATTTCACATTAAAATGTGATTATTTTAAATCCTAGAATAGGATTTTGAAGAAAAATATAAGATTTTTATGAAAAGCAGTGGGAACTTTTGAATATTTAAAATAAAGACTCTGTTTTTTTGTTCTTTGTAAGTTTGCTTGAGGGTAAACTGGTCTGGAAACATTAAGAAAGCAAAACTGCAGCTCATCTGAGGATTTGTTTCAGTGCCGTTAAGAGCTTTTTGAAGCCGATCTGTGAGGGTTTGTCTCCCTCACATGGAGGTCAGCTTTCCTCACACCATCAACCACCAGTCTGATCAGAAGCTAATCCAGTTCGTTCAGAATGCCTCTTATACCGAATCTGCACTAAGGCAGATGGAAAACACTACAGGTCATGCACCAATTCCTCTCAAATCTTAGAGATTGTCATGGATGAGACCAACATCTGCATCAACATCTCTGAGCTTAGACTGAGAGAGCATCTAAAGGCTCAGGAACCCTTTGCAGGTGTTCTGGAAGAATTAGCTGATTAGAGTATGACACTAGAGATTTTGAATATGTGCTACAATCTACACAGCGGCGGAGCCCCGGGGGCGGATGAGGTTCGTCCTGGGTATCTCAAGGCTATGGATGTTGTAGGGCTGTCATGGTTGACACGTCTCTACAACATTGCGTGGTCATCGGGGGCAGTTCCTAGGGAGTGGCAGACCGGGGTGGTGGTCCCCATCTTTAAGAAGGGTGACCTGAGGGTGTGTTCCAACTATGGGGGGATCACACTCCTCAGCCTCCCTGGAAAGGTCTACGCCAAGGTACTGGAGAGGAGGGTCCGATCGATAGTTGAATCTCAGATAGAGGAGGAGCAATGTGGTTTTCGTCCTGGCCGTGGAACTGTGGACCAGCTCTATACCCTTGCAAGGGTGATGGAGGGGGCATGTGAGTTTGCCCAACCAATCCACATGTGCTTTGTGGATTTGGAGAAGGCTTATGACCGTGTCCCCAGGGGCACTCTGTGGGGGACGCTCCAGGAGTATGGGGTGGGTGGCTTTCTGTTAAGGGCCATTCAGTCCCTTTACCAGAGGAGCGTGAGTTTGGTCCGCATAGCCGGTAGTAAGTCGGACCTGTTCCCGGTGAGGGTTGGACTCCGCCAGGGCTGCCCTTTGTCACCGGTTCTGTTCATCACTTTTATGGACAGAATTTCTAGACGCAGCCGTGGTGTGGAGTGTGTCGAGTTTGGTGGCAGGAGAATCTCGTCTCTGCTTTTTGCGGATGATGTGGTCCTCCTAGCTTCATCCAGCTCTGACCTTCAGCTCTTGCTGGGTAGGTTCGCGGCCGAATGTGAAGCGGCTGGGATGAGGATCAGCACCTCCAAATCTGAGACCATGGTTCTCGACCGGAAAAGGGCGGCTTGCCACCTCCGGGTCGGGGGAGAGGTCCTACCTCAAGTGGAGGAGTTTAAGTATCTCAGGGTCTTGTTCACGAGTGAGGGTAGGAGGGATCGGGAGATCGACAGGCGGATTGGTTCGGCGTCTGCAGTGATGCGGACGCTGAGCCGATCTGTCGTGGGGAAGAGGGAGCTGAGCCAGAAAGCCAGGCTCTCGATTTACCGGTCGATCTACGTCCCAATCCTCACCTATGGTCATGAGCTTTGGGTAATGACCGAAAGAACGAGATCGCGGATACAAGCAGCCGAAATGAGTTTCCTCCGTAGGGTGGCCGGGCTCAGCCTTAGAGATAGGGTGAGGAGCTCGGACATTCGGGAGGGACTCGGAGTAGAACCGCTGCTCCTCCGGATGGAAAGGAGCCAGTTGAGGTGGTTTGGGCATCTGGTCAGGATGCCTCCTGGACGCCTCCCCGGGGAGGTGTTTCGGGCATGTCCTGCCGGCAGAAGGCCCCCGGGTCGACCCAGGACACGTTGGAGAGGTTACATCTCCAATCTGGTCCGGGAACGCCTTGGGGTCCTGCCGGAGGAGCTGGTGGACAAGGCCGGGGAGAGGACGGCCTGGAGCTCCCTAATTGGGATGCTGTCCCCGCGACCCGGACCCGGATAAGCGGAGGAAGACGAAGACGAAGACGAAGTGCTACAATCTAGATTTCACAATTCGATTAAGATGATTGTGTCAATGATTCTGTTTGTTAGCATCACAATTATTTCTAATGGATTTGTTTTCATCGATTGAAAGAAGCCAGATATTTGCTTTTTTTAATAGAAAACATGTCAGACACAACATTCCATCTCCCAAAAGCTCTTCAATCACAACAGTCCTTAAGAAAATGTAAAAGTGCAAAACATTTTAAATATTTAAAGAAATTTAACAAAGAAAAATCAGTTTCCTCATTCAACATCTCAGGATGTGGGAAAAGCATACTCTACAGATGCCAAAAAAATCTTAAAAAATACTGAAAACCTAGAACATGTCCAATTCATGTGTTTAATTTAGCATATAAAATCCATAATAGAATAGAATAGAATAGAATAGAATAGAATAGATCCCACAGTGAGGAAGGTCACTTGCTACAGCAGCACCACTTGGAGAATAACTTGAAGAAAATAATAAAAGTACATGTATACACATTGTGTTGGTGAGAGCTGCCTTCACCCCAACAGATCACAGCAGAGTGGATAACAGGGCCAACAACAGAGTGATAAAAGGATTTTAGCAGATGGAAATTAGGGCCTTACATGGACAAGCATCTTCATACATTGGTGATCTTCTCAGTCCCTACACCCCCAGCAGGTCCTGGAGGTCCAGTGACCAAAGCCTACTGGTTGTGCCGCACCAGGCTAAAGACCAAAGGTGACAGATCATTTGCTGCTGTGGCCCCAACACTCTGGAACGCTCTCCCCCTGAGCATGAGATCAGTGGACTCAGTGGTCTCCTTGAAGCAGCTGAAACTCGCCTGTTCAGGCTGGCTTTGGTGTGACCTTCATCACCACCCTATCCTTATTCTGCTCTTTCTACCTATTCCATCTTTCCCGGGATCCACAGATTTCAATCGATGAAAGGAGGTTCATGTTTGTGTTTGTGGAGATACAACATCAACCTCGCAGAGCAAATGGAGTCAGTTTTAGAGTCCTGTTGCTGTTAGCCAATCAGAGGTGACATGTGTAATTATCAGGAAATAACACTCCAAATTCTGCCATCTGAAGCTACTTTCTCCTTCATCTGACTTGTTCTTAGTAAAAGAATAAGGAAGTTCACACACACACACACACACACACACACACACACACACACACACACACTCATAAGGGATTAATTCATACAAGAGACCACTGCAAATGTATTATAGGAGAGAACCGCAGAAGAAAAATGCTGCTTAAATAGCTTTTTATTAGAGGGATTTTATAGAAAAAACTTTATAAATATGTGTTGTATTTATAACTATTATGATGTAAATTAAAAATCATAAAATATAATGACTGTTTTTATCTTTGCGGAGCACAGTGGACAAAACTCTTTCATAGCAGCTTCTTCACGAATCTTTGACCGTAGAGGAAGAAGCAGAGCGGGAACAGTGCTCCATGTTAAAGTCACTTAACTGCATATTTAAGGCTAAAAGTGCCCGCAAACCTCCTTTAGTTTCAGTTAGCTCAAGTTTTGGTACCCAACAGTCCCACCAACACATCATATGTGACCAAGCTGCGTTATGTTAAATGCACAGGATTCTCCCCCATCAACCAGCAAAATAAAGCACAGAAATGTTACTCATTGCTAAAAATGAAGAAGAGACTTCTTGAGTGATCTCTTAGTGCAATTAACACCACAACTTGCCATCTTTGTCCAATAATTCCATGAATAGTATCCAAACACAGACACAAGTTCAGAGAATCAAAATGGCCGAACATCTATTATTGTCAGGCTGAGGCCTTCCCTGGAGCTAGCTGCTAGTGCTAGCTCTGACTCTCATGCTACTTGTCAATCAGTTATTCAGTTGAATTCAAGCATTGATTTCATCTATAAGGGTGAGTTGCAAAAACATCCACTCCCCTCAGAATTGTCATGCCCTAGCCATTGAAAAATCTCGTCATTATGATTTCGATGGATTTCATTTAGGAAACCAAATAAGAATTGCCTAAAATCCCAAAAAGTTCCAGGCCCTGTTCAGAGTGATAAAATGTTATTCTAATGGTTAACTTAACATTTTTAACCTGAAACAGTCTTTCTCTGAAGCAGTGAGGACTCGGAGCCAAATCCCCACTGCGTGATTGCATGTCTGCGTCCTCACCTGCTGTTCCAGCTGCAGATAATCACCGTAATTTGGTTTAAAGTGTGAAACAAATTGCTGCAACAATGGAGGTCGAGCGCTGATGCTTCCACGCCACACTTTTGTAATAATAAGGGTGGAAATGAAAAGACGAAGGTGAGTCGACCTTCAGTCACAACACATCACTTCCCATCAGCTGCTCTAAGCTACTGAACTGTTTTTATTCAGCTCCATCTGTTCGTCTGCGGAGCGTGACCCCTCTGAGGACAAACCTAAACAGCACACAGTCCTGTTTCATTCCAAAGTGCTGCTGCTGGTTTGGAATCAATAAGAAAGATTATCCAGCTTTGTTTTTACAGCTGAACGCGTTGCAGATATTTAAACCGCCATCAAAACTCATCGCAGGAACAACTATTTAACCCTCCAGAGCACGATATATGATATGCAGATTTCTGGTGAGTGCAAGAGAAGCCCGTCAGCCAGCTGAGCGTCCTGCCCGTTGGCGTTTCTGCTGATTTCAGCGTCACTCAGCAGAAACCCTGTGGACAGCCAGCACGGCGTCCTTATTGTGTCAGGCTGTGTTTGGCTTGATGCTGCAGCCTGACACTGAGGAGCATGAGGGCCAGCAGAGGGTCAGGTCAGTCCACCCCCCCAGACTTAACACCAGGGATGTTTCTCTGGCAGAAGCAGGAGCTGTCCGTGCGGTGAAACATCAGCTGGTTCAAGTAAACATCCCACCAGGAAGAACAGCAGATTCTGTCCTAAACACTCTGAGGTTCAGGCCAAGAGGAAGCTGAAACAAGGCTTCTTTCTCATCCGATGAAACATCAGAGAAAAGTGTCAAATCTTGCAAACGTTCCTGCTTAGAGTTGAAACCCACATTTAACCCATGAAGCCAAATTCATGAAGTTAGGTAAGATGGTTTCTAAAACACCTCAGCAAACAGAGTTAAGCCTATCAGCTGTGGGAGCCAAACATTATAAACTCAAACCCAAACAAACCTGCACAGCTGGTCTTCAAATGCGCCAGCCAGCACACGGCCGCAGGCCAGCTTGCCGTTTTATTTAGGAGATATCCAAACATTTACAGGCCGTTCAAAAATTAAGAGAAATAAGAACCTAGAGAGTATCCAGTCACCAAACACAGTGGGTTTCCACCAACCACCAAATTCAGAAACTGACCGTCATCCAGTTTCTTTATTTCAATAAAGCAACCATCACAGTTGTATGTTGATAGATTCAAATAATCTAAAACAATATTTCTTTTTCAGATTTAAAGGTTACAGATCATGCTATTTTGTGAGTTTTACATCAGTCTGTTTTCATGACTTTCAAAGTGAAATTCAAAATTTGCAGCTGAAACAGGAAAATACATGCATGCAGCCAAAAACAGGTTTGGGGGTATTTCTCATGAGGAAACATTATTACATGCTGAAAAGCTCGAAAAATTGGATTTTCCATGATATGGCCCTTTAAATTTATTCATAAGGTCTGATTAGATTCTTCTCAGTGAGAAAAAGATGGTAGATACAAATTTTAGGCCTAAGTTCTCCTCTAACCCTTTAATGTCAGCTCTTCTTCACCATGTTTACTCAAAAAAGTTTAAAAGTCTGAATTTTTATGTCAAATTTACCTCATACTGTTATAATAGTTGAGAATGGATTAAATAAACAGTAGGAGGACGAGAGAAGTCACACTCCTACAGCCACCCAAGCTGCATAAGATCAAATGAATATTCCCCAGAGAAGGAGACTGTTTACCTGGATTCATTGTCTCTGGCAATCAACAGAGACATGTGATTAGAGATTGACGCCGTTCTCAGAATCTCCACCGCCCTGAAAGAAAACCCAGTAAAATGTGCCGTCATGAAGAGACACTGCACAAAGGAAAAGACCTGCTAAACACAAAATGTGCCGTCTAAAAACACGACTTCTTTGGGCCTGTCATTAACCAAATAAATACAAATCTAAATTTACTTCTGGCAGAGTAGATTCTCAGAGGGTTTTAGGATCTGAAGGTAAAGTCAGAGTAGAGAAAACAGGTAAAAATGTTCCTACTTAGGTAAAAAAAAAAAAAGTGTTAAAAGCATCCAGAAAGTTGAGTCCTGTTCAAATGCTGCTGATGAGAGTGGGGTTAGGGTTAGGTAGAAGAGCCTGCAGCTCGTTACCACCGGGCATGGACTGACCTTCTGGCGGGCAATGCCCGGTGGGCCGTCGTGCTTTTTTGGGCCAGTGTACTGAGGAAAAATAAATTTAAAATATATCTTTAAAAAAACACATTGTAAATATTATGCAACGACCCACTGGGTGTTTTTAACAGGACATTGGGCTAATCGAATGAGACTCTCTCTCAGCCATCCTCGACCCGGCCCTCCCTCCTCATCTCATCTCCGATCAAACTTGGGCAGAGCGTGTTTTGAGAGCACGCAAGTAAAAAATGGACAAACCAAAAAAGCGTAAGGGGGGGAGCAGAAAAGCAGCGAGAGAAAAGGAAAAAAACTCCTCCAAGCGGATTCAGAACACTGTGCCAAGCTAACAGATATTTTTGCCATTGCATCTACAAGTTGGTCCGGGGCAGCAGTTGCACCTGGCCCAAAGGAAGGAGGAGGAAGATTAGATATTCAGGGAGACTCGTCAGAGGAGAAGCAGAAGGATGAGAGACACGAGTCTCAGCAAGGACACAGGAAGAAGTGGTCAGAAAAGCTTCAGTCAGTCCGATCCTGGTAAGATGTACCATAAATGTTCATGACGAGGGACTTTCATGAAGATAGGTGGGGGTATGTGTGTGTGTGTGCGCGCGTAGGAGCGTGTGTGTGTGTGTAAGGCGGGAGACAGGTGGTCTGCACATAAGCTAGCATGCAGAAACAATAACAGAAACGATAATAATAAATTACAACCAGAAATTGTTAAATGTTATTAATACTGGGAAATTTGAAAGCTAAAAGTGTCCAAATGCTCAACCCAATTGTTTTCTTCAAACGGATTTAAAATATGAATAATAGCCGTAGAATATGGAGTTATCTGTGATTTCTGTAAAACTGTGTGTGTGTGTGTGTGTGTGTGTGTGTGTGTGTGTGTGTGTGTGCGTGCGTGCGTGCGTGCGTGTGTGTGTGTGTGCACGCGCGCATTAGTGATGTGAGTCATCGAGTGCTCAATCTGGAGCCTGATGGGAACCTTTAATGATGTGAACAACCACACAGAAAATCAGCTCTTAGCAACAAAAAATAATTATTTTTGTCATTAAGAAATGCAGAATCCTAATTTATCTGCCACATTTTCTCATCAGCAGATAAACTAGTGACAGCTGAATGCATGTGAGTATAAAATCACCCAAAAACCATGAGAGACAGAAGAAGCACTCTGCTGGAGACACAGTTGAGCTCTGTGGACAAGAGTTTCTCTCTTCAGTGACCACTGGTGTCTCAGCTGCTTTTGGGACAACTGGACATCTGGCTCCACAAACTCATGGTGAATCAAGATGTTCTAGTCTATGGTATCAGCCCAGACCCACAGATGACGGTCCCACTGAGTCAGAAGAGGAAGTCAGAACTTGGAGCGATTCTTTTATTCAGGAGCTCCCGGATTTGTTCTGTTTTCTAAGTAGGATGTTAGATGTCCATTATGAAGTGTGATGGACCTATCTGCAGTCCAGACCTGTCTGCTGATGACCATATTTGCAGGATCATGAGGAAAAGCATCAGACCACAAAAGATTGAGCTGCAGATGAAGAGAAAATGGTCAAATCTGAGTTTTTTTAAATCAGAGTCCTGCAAGTAGAAGGTATAATCCAGCAGCTCATCAGCACTCAGATCAGAAAAAACTGAAGAAAGACGTGCTTTAGGGCACAGCTGCTTCATTTAACAATGCAGACTAAAGTCTGCAGGACAATATCGGCATGTTTGTTTGAACAGCTGAGTCTGACATCATAACACGACTGATATCAAAAAAAACTGTTCAGTTCTTGCAGCTGCAAAGAGTTTTAGACAGTTGACACTATTAAACAGCAAAAACAAAAATAGATTTTAGGAGGTGACCATCAGAATCTTGTGGCTTGTTGGCAGATAGAATATAAAATCCAACTCAGAGGATGGCATTAGGTCTGTAGATGACCGATGGCATGTAGGTCAATCTGTAGGTGAAAACTGACCATTTGTGGACATTACAGAGGCGTACGACTGCAAAACAAAGTTAAACATTAGAAACATTTTGGTTTAATTGGGCTTTTTCTGGTTTATACTTGAACTTTTCTAAAACAGAACAAAAAGCTCATTTTGGCAAATTCTTCTGCTCACACACAGGAGCATCTCGCTGAGATGTACTCACCTCTCATTGGTCACCCCAATCAGACTGATGTTATTGACATCCAGAATCAGGTCACCTGACATAAGCCGACCTGGAACAGACGGACCAGCAGATAAGTGGGGTGATGATAACTCGCCTCAAACAAACAAATTACTCAGAGAGAACATTACCATCTAAAGCAGCCAAGCCGCCCGCGATCACCCGCTTGATAAAGATGCCAAAGTCTTCCCCTGTCAGCTCTCTGTAACCTCCGATCACTTTCACACCTGGGGAGCATAAGGAGGAGTTCCAACTGCTTAGAAAACTGTCCAAACAACAAAGCTGGCACAAACTGAGCAGCAGCGAGTCACAAACAGGTCGTCAAGGTCGCGGGTCATAAGCTCACCGAGTCCTTTCTTGCAGTCGGAGAACTCCAGCCTCTGGACGGCTCGGCTGATGCCGTGAGGGCCCATAATCGTCCTGGAGAGACACGCAAACACAGCAGCTTCAAAAACATGTCTACATCATGCCTCAGGCAAAGTCTCTCTGTCCTCAGAGCTCTGCTGCACAAAATAATCAAATCATCAACGGATTTTGTTATTGCCCCCTCCCTCCTCCAGCCAGCCACATGCAACCAATAATATCTGTCTCCTCCCAAACGCCACAGCAGCTGAACCACAAGTGACCTGGATGTTAGAAGGCGTCGGCAGACTCAAACAGAGACTCGATATAATCAAAGGAACAAAATCTCCTCCGCTGTCCCTGCACGGAGCGTGTGAGTGACAAGATCCAGATTAAAGCGTCAGAGGTTCTTCAGTAGAGTTTAATGTGATGCTGCTGGCTGCTCGTCCTTTCCCGAGGCTCAGGTGTGTGTGTGCATGTGTGTGTGTGTGTGTGTGTGTGTGTGTGTGTGTGTGCGCGCGTGTGTGTGAGACAGCAGATTTGACCGCATGACTCTGGATCCAGACTTTAGGGCTTTTGATCAGAATTGACACAAACTCAGAATCAGCTCATCAGTTCAGTCGTAAAAAAAAAGAAGTTATTCATTCTCTCCAGTAAGTGAAAATTATAAATAGTTCCAGTTGTACCCTTCGTAGGTAGCTTCCGAAATAACCTACGTTAGGAGAAAAAGAGGTTACATGCTTTAGTGCAGATGATCTAATGCTTAGTCTGTGTGAAGGAAGGGTCAAAAAGTGTTGCTGCCATCTTAACCTTTTGACTAATGTTTATATTTAAAATGTTTTATAATCATTTCACTTATATTATATAATCATTTAACACTATAAAGGTAATAAATAGAGATGGCTCTTACCACCTGTAGAATATCCACCAGAGGGCAGCAGACAGGTACAGGTAGGGATAAAGCAGGTTTAGAACCCACTTCTTCAAATTGGCCTTCCCCTAATTCTAACCCAGAATGCCCCCATTGTTCACTATTTGACATCTTGTTTCATTAAAGCCGGGCGTACACTGTGCGACTTTTTCACTTTTTTGAGCAGATTTTCCACTCGTGCGAGAATCCACAAGATCGGGGTGAGTTTTGCGCTGAGCGTCGTGTAGTATACAGGGGGTTACGAGAGGCAATTAACACCACGTGACCAGCTACCGATCAGCAATCGTGAGCTCGCACGGACCTTTGGAGTGTTTGCTATTTTGCTCGTTCCTCGTGAGGGTTGAAGGGGCGCAGCGAGCAGCTGCAACCCAAAAAGTACTAGAACCGCTCAAGGTGCATGCGCAATCATGCATCAACACCGCTCGCCCACTATTTCCCTAATAACAGATGTTGTTTGTTTTTATTTCTACATGTTTTTTTTTTACACACAGTGACAACAAGGATTGTCAAGAAAGTGTGTTTGTCATGTTCATGTCAAATAAAACTGATCAAAAAATCTAGATTTATTTTCTTTATTTCGTTTTCCTCATCCAAACACCATAAATCCCTGTGTGTCCTCCTGAAGCACTCCCGAAGGACAACAGGCAAGACAAAAAAGTCTGACGTGTTGTGTAAAAACTGCTATTTTCAGCATATTTTTTAGGTCCAACGTGTTGCTAGCAGACGTACAGTGTGAGCAGTCAGGTCTCATCCGAGAACTGGGTCTTATAGTGTGAACACATGACTCATGAGGTCTGCCCTGCGAGGAAGTCGTACAGTTTGAGCTGAAGCTGAGTGCTACGAGTGAAAAAGTCGCACAGTGTCCGTCCAGCTTTAGTGTTTATTGCCTTTTTGTAAAGCGTCTTCGAGTGACCTAAAAAGTGCTATATAAGTTTGATGTATTATTATTATTATTATTATTATTATTATTATTATGAAGGTATGGTCCGCTGCTCTTTTCTTTATACATGCTACCACTTGGAGGAATCATAACTTGGCATAACTTTTGTTTTTATTGTTATGCTGACGATATTCTAATGTATTTACCAATCAGTCCAAATTCTAACATCACAATAACATCCCTGCTGAGTTGCCTCAATGATCTCCAACTGTACTCTCTGATAATTTCCTGTTCTTCAATGAAGAAAAGTCAGAGTGCATAGTTTTTCCCCCTCTCCATACCACCCTGGTATTTACATGCCTAATATTGGTCCTTTGGCCTCCAAGAGCAAGCCACATGTTAGAAACCTTGGTGTCATCTTTGACAGTGAACTGAATTTTGACAAGCAGATGAGCACAGTGGTTAAAGCAAGTTTTTACCAATTCCAGGCTGTGTCCGGGCTCAAGCCATTTCTAAACAGCTCAGACCTAGAAAAAGTCATTCATCAGTTCACGCCTGGACTATTGCAGTGCTCTATATGTTGGTCTGTCTTAGTCTTCCATTGCTCGCCTTCAGCTAGTCCAGAATTCTGCAGCACGCCTCCTCACGAACACATCTAGATACACTCACATTACCCCCATTCTCTCGGTGCTGCATTGACTCCCTGCAGTGGCGGCTGGCCAGTAGAGGGCGATAGGGCGCCGCCCTCCCAGTTTCCCCTGTGTTTTTAATATTTATTTAAAAAAATAAATAAATAAAATTAACAATAATCACATATTCTAAGTTAATTGTGTGTTTTGTAACAAAAATAAATCATATATATATATATATATATATATATATATATATATATATATATATATATATATTGGTTCTGCCATTCTCTGCTGATCTCTGCCGATCTCTGCCGATCTCTGCCGGTCTCTGCCGAGCGGTGGAGGCTGTGTGCTGTTTTTCAATTGCCCAAACAAGACGGGACCAGTTGTCCAATTGCTGACAAGAAAATCAAAGGGTAGGAATGGGAATGTATCCAATCAGCGTCGACGTTGTTTCAGAATGTTTCAGAAGCATGATGGGCGATAGAGCTACCGCCAAGGCTTTCGTTGGTGTTCGGCAAGGGCGTCGGTTTGTTTTCAGAATTGCTGGGGACAATAACCATACACTTGAGTGGGGTTTAAAAATTGCTGGGGACAATAAAGTAGGCTAGCACAGGGGTCGGCGGCTCTGGAGCCGCATGCGGCTCTTCCATCCATCTGATGCGGCTCTCTGTGTTTGTAAAATAATGAATGGATATTTAAATAAAATGCTTTATATTTTACTGCATTAATTTTACATCTGTATGCCAATTCTAAATGTAAAGATTGTCTGCGTAAACCTGAACAGGTCCAACCCGGTCTTACTGTGAGACCGGGTTGACGGGTCACGCTTGTGCGTAATCATAGGCGCTTTATGAGCTGAAGAGGATGTGAGATTCTGGGATTCTCCTCAGACGGCTCCTGGATGTGTCGCCACATTGGAGACAGGACCAAGCACTATTCAGCCAAAGTTTCATCGTCAGGGAACATTTTCTAAGTGACAAGTCTCTCTGAGAGACAGGGTTTGGAAAACACTTGCTTCAGTGGGAGGAACCTTCCACATGCGCGCTGGTTCTCTGGGGTTAATCAAGTTTAATTGTTTCTCTTTGCAACAATCTTCACAAGAAGGCAAAACAGTTAAACAGCAGGTTACAGATATTTCCATTTGACTGTTTATTTTGACAGATGAACTCAAGGATGTTGCTTGGTTTGAAAGAATTACCCCGACACACACTAATGCGCATGGAAGAGCTGACATTTTAATACACACATTGCAGAGGTAACTTGATTCCCATCAGAACATCAGAGCTTTATACTGGACACTGTGTTCAGCGTGGCTCGGAGCGCCCACGGTGGACAGTGAGCTGAAGATCTGGGGTTCGCAGCGCAGCGCAGAACCACGGCCATGCGATAAGATTTCCTCCCACTGAAACAGTCTGGAAACCCGGTCTCTCTGAGGGATGTGTCACTTGGAAAAATGTTCTTTTAATGAAATTATGAAACTTTGGCTGAACAGCGCTTGTTCCCGTCTCTAATATGGAGACGCATGATGCGTAGAGACATTTGATCACGCACAAAGTTCATGTGGAGCAGAAGCGGTCGGGCCACGGCAGGTGAAACGTTCCTAGCCTACATGAAGTGAAACTGTTTAATTGTAACATTAATATGTTACTGGACACGCTGGTCTGGTTGGTTAGACCAGTGTTTGAAGTGGAAAACACACACACACACACACACACACACACACACACACACACCAATTAAAATAATGCTGATAGCATGGACTAGAAGCCAGGTGATGGTTTACGTATTTAAATGATGATCAGGCTGATGTAAAATGTAATCTCCATCCACATCCAGACACAATTATCCTCTATTCTTTCTCTATTTGCTCTGCTCTTGTCTGGGCTGATCAGCTGATGGTGCGCGCGGTGCGCCTAACTAGCGGCTGATGCACATTTTACGCATTTGGAGAGGTGGTGCTGGATGCTTTGCGTTTACTGGAAGATGGTCCACTTAACGCACGGGTGTAGACTACACATTAATGACAAATGAATGAAAATTAAATTGGGAGTTTTTACTTCATATTTTATAAATAAAAATGACGGGGGAACACATTTATGACATCTTTTTAAACTAAATTTTCTAGCGCGACCTGCCTGCTTCACTTAAGTCACTGCTTATTAAGGTCCGTCCAAAATTACCGTGGGAAACGGGTAATAATGGCTCTTTGATGGGAACAGGTTGCCGACCCCTGGATAAGATCTGAGCTGGTAAAACAAAAATCCTCATCAGCAGGCTTTTTTGAAAGTGGGGGGGACACAGCTGCCAATCACAAATTTTGCCGGGGACATGTCCCCGGCGTCCCCGGTTAAAATGACGCCTATGGTGTTCGGTAGAACTCGGAGAGTCTCGACTCCAGCACGTTTTTGGTCGTGACTCGTGACGGTCATGACGCAGACGCAGACATGGACGCCAGTGCGCCTACAACATGGATACCGGAGCCACTGAATTCAGTTCAGTCTCTTCTCCAGTATCCGTTCGAGAGGAGAACTATGGTGGAAAAACTTAATGTCAAAGAGCTTGGACCAGATCAGCCCGACGTAAAGATAAGCCAGCAGGACAAGGAGAAGGGTAAACTGTACACACGACG